CCGCCCCATTTAGGAGCAATGCACTATGCGTTTTTGCTGTCATACAATACAACAGAGAAGAAAAAAGCGACGGGTAACTTCAAGAAAAACCTTTGTCCTCAAAGTAGGATGCACCACGATAGAAATTGTCTAATCGCTTGCAGAAAAATCTTGCGAAGTGACTTTGAGGTTTTGTCTGCAGAGGATCACGGTGGTCTGATTGGTCGCCGTCAAATGCAGCTCAACTAAAACATTTTGACACCCGGTTCAAACCATTTTGATCCACAAGGCTAAATAGCTGCTAGTCACCTTGTTACCCAGTCGGCCGGTTTATACACTTTAGAAACGGCGTCATTACGGTTACCCAACAGTAACACCGTTTATCACTTGCCATCGAGTTCGCAAAGCTGCTCAGACGGGCCGAACAAACTGGCACCAGTTTGGGTCTCCCGACCATGAAAGTGATAAACCATCCCTCTTTCAGGAATAAATCTTGGTAAAATGCACGAAATTGGAGTGATGGAGTTCAGTGCTCAGAACTAATATCGTGGTCTAAATTGCTCAGTCCTTGGATGAAGAGAATAGAAACGGTCAGTAAGTGATCTTTTACCACTATATGCTTTCAGTTCGGCCCCACAGTTTTTCAGTTCTAAGTGGTTGCAGGATTCGTAGAATCCACCTTATTTTGAACAATCCTTTTCCTGTCTTGGCGCAATTATTTTGGTGGGCTCACACATGCTCACGCATGCTAATTCATATGCATCCAACATACTCTGGTGGAGTAGTGGTAACACGCTTGCATCGCACGTCAGAAGCCCAGAGTTCGAATCCATTCAGGCTATGCACTGCTGAATACAACTATTAGGAACGGAACTCGAGTCCAGTTCTTCCCCGCTTTGGTGTGAACTCGCCAGAATAGCTGCGCCAGGACTGGACGAGGGCTGCTCTAAAGAAAGTGATATGATGATATGAACTGTGACCACTAGGCGTAACAGTAACGCAGAAGAGGTAATGGGAGGGCAGAGGGGAGTATGCCAAGTACTTACGTGACTCAATTAAAACCAGGACAGTTACTGGGTCGTCGTTCGATGAGTCGGGCACACCAGTCACATCGCTCAAGTGTGAACACGTTCGCCTGTTCAGACGTGATCATTCAGATGCGTCCAGCGTGCGTTGGTGGAATAGTGGTTACACGCTCGCCTCGCATGTCAGATGTTCGGGGTTCAAATCCCGACACGGCCATTGGATACGCACTGCTGATGAGCTCTAATAGGGGCAAAACTCGAGTCCAGTGCTTCCCTTTGGTGTGGACTCACCGGAATAATTACGTCAGAACGGGAACACGGCCGTTCAAACGAGAGTGGTGTGGCTATGAACGAAAATACCTATCCCGCAAAACCCCAAAATTGCAATCAATTAAAAAAAATAGATACAGTCTCCAGCCATTTATAGATGAACAACAGCCAAATAGAATGGTAGGTTTTGAGGTTTTACTCCCACAAGTGAGGTCAGTCTGCGCTGAAAATCTAAGAATCATGATACAACTGTTCCATCCGGCCGGTAGTTGATTTTTATCCCGCCCACACACGAATAACCAATTGGCTGTACGGTACTCGCATTTAGACAATATATAGCTGTCGATATATGAAACGCCATGTTCGCTAACTTGAAACATTACTTACTAAAAAAACGTTCAACATATCTGCCATGCCACCCGAAGGAAGTACCAGGGCTAAGAGACTGCCAAGTTTTCCAAACCTAAGAAGGGCAAGTCAGGAGGCAGTGATTGGGTTCGAACCACGGACCTTCCGGTCAGTAAATTCGCGCTCTAACCACTGAGCCATCTAACCCCTATTACTGACTGGGTACATCAGCATTGCGCAGGTTGAGTGTGGCTCAGAAGTGAGGTGACCTCAGTAAAAGTTCGCATCCTTCTGGTATGTAACAACACGTCTTCCGAAACCTGCTCGCGTGAAATCAAATTTTTCGTTGGTTCGGTGAAAGACTACTTCAGCTAGACTGCTCCCAATTCGAGTGCTAAATGAAAGGGTGGAATAAATCGGAAAATGCAGTATATAACACAGTATGTGTATAACACACGTATGATACAAATATACCGCGATATCTCGAATATCGTGCCAGCTGAAAC